CTTATATTGCGTGCTTTCTCAATTTTAAGTAAAATGTTCAATATTACCATGGTGAAGAAATTATGTCACCAAAACTGGCTTTTTCTTTGTGTGGGTTGGCAAAGGAAGAGGATTACATCCCTGCCTCACTTAAGCATGCACAAAGCTGGAGAATGTCCAGAACATTTCTGTTTCTTTCTTTCTTTTTATTTTTTTTTTTTGGTAGATGTGCTGGAGACTGAACTTTGAACTCAGAGCCTTCTGCATGCCAAGCATGCGCTCTACTGGTAGCAGGAATTACACTCTCAGTCCAAGGAGGTTTTTCAATATTGAGGAAAAGCTAAATATCTCATTAATCAATAAATTCCATTTGTGTATCCTTTACTATATCTTAACTAGATCCCTACTCTATCAGAACTTGTCTGAGCAAACTGGAATAAAGAATTGTAATTCTTTCTACCTTTGTGCCACTTCTTTCTCAGTGTTTTATTTCTGTCACTATAGTTTTGTATCTTTTTTTTTTTCAGATAGTGGATAGGTACTATGCATTTACTTACTTATTGTCTGTTTCTTTTGCTACCATGGAAGGTAGGGATCTCTGTCTTGTCCATCACAAGCACCTGGAGCTGTAATGTCATTTGCAGTTAAAGGTACTCAGGGATTTGTTTAGGAACTCTTTCTCCTCCTTTACACTCTTCCCTTGAATTTACACACACCTTTGCTAGTTCCATGTAGTTTGTAGACATTCCTACTTTTCTAGTCTCCCTTCCTTTCAGTCTAATTTGTTCTGCACATTTCTATCAGGCTGATTTCTGCGCCCCCCCCAGATCCAACTTGACTGTGTTACTCTGACCAAACTAATCTTCTCTTCAATACAGATCCTTCAGCTACCTTCAAGAATACAACACAAAGTGAATATTCTAGATTTCTTTCTTTGTGTGTGTTACAAATTTAACCATTAGGTAATCATTTATCATCTAAACTGTATGTTTAAAACAGCTTACCATCGATCGAGTTATAATTGATGCATATTAAAGTACACATATTTGAAGTGTGTTAATTGATATGTGTGGATATATGTATATACCCATGGAATCATCACCACAATTAAATAGTGAATATTCACTTTACCTCTGAAAGTTCCCTTTTGCTCCTTGGTAAGCCACCCTCCACCTACTCCCCAAGAATGGCTGATTTGCTTTCTGTCACCATAGTTTGTATTTTCAAGAAGTTTGTATAAATGGAATCATATAGTATATATTATTTGTATATAGTATATATTATTATACTATATAATCATATAGTATATCTCTCAAACTTGCTATTTTGAGATTCTGTACTGCATGTATTAATAATAATTAATTCCCTTTATCATTCAACAGTATTCCATTTCATAATTTGCTGATTAATTGACTTGAACATTTAGATCATTTCTAGTTTGGGTTCATTTTCAATAGAATTGCTGAAGATATCTGTGTACTAGATTTTTTTGTAGACTTATGTTTTTATTTCTCTTGAATAACTGTTATTTCTCTTGGATCTGAGTCATATGACACATGTATGTTTAAGTTTTAAAAAACTGGGGCTGGCATTGTGGCTCAGTGGTAGAGCACTCACCTAGCATGGGCGGGACCCAGATTCCATCCTCAGCACCACATAAAAATAAAGGCATTGTGTTGTGTCCATCTACACCTAAAAAATAAAAAACTACTCAACTGGGGCTGGGGTTGTGGCTCAGTGGTAGAGTGCTTGCATAGCACATGAGAGGCTCTGGGTTTAATCCTCAGCACCACATAAAAATAAGTAAATAAAATAAATGTATTGTGTCCAACCACAACTAAAAAATAAATTAAAAAAAAATTGTCCAACCATTTTCCAAAGTGGTTGAGCTATTTTGCATTTTTACCATCAGTGTCTAGGATTCCTGTTTGCTCAGTCGGTGTCTATACTAACATGCAGTACATTAGACTTTTTAATTTTTGCCTGCCTGCCTGCCTGCCTTCCTTCCTTCCTTCCTTCCCAGTATTGAGGACAGAATTCAGGGTGCTCTATCACTGTGCTACATCCCCAGCCCTTTATATATTTTGAGACAGGGCCTTGCCAACTTGTTGAGGCTGGCTTGAATTTGCAATCCTTCTGCCTCAGCCTCTAGAGTTCCTGGGATTACAGATGTGCACCACTATGCCCAGCTTCTATTGGGTGTATAAATGCTATCTTATTATAGTTTTTACTTGAATACCTATTTGACTCTTTTGAGCATCATTTATGGTGCTAATTTGCCATCTATATCTTCTTTGGTGACATTCTTTTAAGTGCTTTGCATATTTTAAAATTGAGTTGTTGTCTTATTTAATTGTAAGTTTTCCTTTTTTATTTTAAATACAAGTATTCTGTTGGAAATGTGGTTTGCAATTACTTTCTCCCACTCTGTGCTATCTTTTTATTAACAATGCCTTTTGAAGAACAAAATTTTTTATTATGATAAGGTCCAACTTATTTTTCCCTTTTTTAAATTTTTAATTTGTTTTAATTAATATACATGACAGTAGAATGCATTTATGTACTTTGATATATCATTCATAGATAAGATATAGTTTCTCATTTTTCTGTGTACATGTTGCAGAATCATATTGGTCATATAGTCACATATATACATAAAGTAATAATGTCTGTTTCATTTTACTATCTTTCCTATGCCCACATCCCCTCCCCTTCCTTCCCATCACTTCACTACCTAATCTAAGGTAACGTTATTCTTCTCTTGTGAATTAGCATCTGCACATTAGAGAAAACATTCGGCCTTTGGTTTTGTGGGATTGGCTTATTCACTTAGCATGATGTTCTCCAACTCCAACCATTTACTGGCAAATGCCATAATTGAACTCTTCTTTAAAGCTGAGTAATATTCCATTGAGTATGTATACCACATTTTCTTTATCCATTCATCTATTGAGGGACACCTAAGTTGGCTCCATAGTCTAGCTATTGTGAATTGAGCTGCTATAAATGTTGACATGGCAGCATTACTGAAGTGTGCTGATTTTAAGTCCTTTGGATATAAATCAAGGAGTGAGATAGCTGAGTCAAATGGTGGTTCCATTCCTAGTTGTCTGAGGAATCTCCATACTGCCTTCCATAGTGGTTGCACCAATTTACAATTCTACCAGCAATGTGTGAATGTATCTTTTTCTCCCACATCCTCGCCAACATTTATTGTTGCCTGTATTCTTGATGATTGCCATTCTGACTGACTTGAGATGCAATCTTAGAATGGTTTCAATTTGCATTTCTGTAATTACTAGAGATGTTGAACACTCTTTCATATATTTGTTGATCAATTGTATTTCTTCTTCTTAGCCCATTTACTGATTGGGTTATGTTTTGTGTTAAGTTTTTTGAGTTCTTCTTTATATATCCTAGAGATTAATGCTTTATTAATGAATGTAGTTAAGATTTTCTCCCAATCTCTCTCCTCACATTATTAATTGTTTCTTTTGCTGAGAAGAAGCTTTTTAATTTGAATCCATCCCATTTGTTGATTCTTGATTTTGCTTCTTGTGCTTTAGCAGTCTTGTTAAGGAAGTTAGATCCTACGCTGATGTGGTGAAGATTTGGGCCTATTTTTTCTTATGTTAGGTGCAAGGTCTCTGTTCTAGTGCCTAAGTCTTTGATCCACTTTGAGTTGATTTTTGTGCAGGGTGAGAGAGAGAGGTTTAATTTCATTTTGCTACATATGGATTTCCAGTTTTGCCAGCACAATTTGTTAAATAGGCTATCTTTTCTCCGGTGAATGTTTTTGACACCCTTTTCTAGAATTATATAACCGTATTTATGTGGGTTTGTCTCTGTCCTCTATCCAGTATCATTGGTCTACAAGTCTATTTTGGTGCCAATACCATGCCATTTTTGTTACTATAGCTCTGTAGTATTGTTTAAGATCTGGTATAGTAATGCCTCCTGCTTCACTTTTCTTGCTAAGGATTGCTTTAGCTATTCTGGGTCTCTTATTTTTCCGAATAAATTTCACAACTGCTTTTTCTATTTCTATGAAAAATGTCATTGGGATTTTAACAGGAATTGCATTAAATCTGTATAATGCTACATGTGTTTTCAGGTTGTTTTTATTTTGGTTTTTGCTTTTATTATGAACAGGGAGCTACCGTGTTTAGTAAAATGAACTACAAGAAGTAAAATACATTAAAATATATTTTAATGTAAATACATTAATGAAATGTAAATACATTTCATTTACAACAAAATATAGTGACTATGAAAAAGACAGGAGGAAGTGTTGAAATCTCTAACTATAGCTCTAGAGTACTAAAGAGCACCCTGGCATGTGGGCTCTTAGACTTGATAAAGACTATGGTTACTCTTTATTCCTTTTATCTCTTATATAGTTTTGATGTGTCTTTTGTTTTTATAGTATAAAAGTTTTGTGTACTTATGTTATTTCTCAATAGCATTTTACATAAGATTTTTAAAAACAAAATTGCAGCCAGGCATGGTGATGCACACCTGTAATCCTAGCAGCTCGGGAGATTGAGCCAGGAGTATCACAAGTTCAAAGCCAGCCGCAGTAACTTAGTGAGGCCCCAAGCAACTCAGTGAGACCCTGTCTCTTAAAAAAAAAAAAAAAGTTGTATCTTGCCTCTCCTCCCACCCTCTGACAAAATTTTCCAAACACCTAATAAACACTGAGCAAATAATGTGGGTTCATTTAGTACTATACTTATTAAAAGATGGAATTAGTTTTTTTGCACCAAGTGCTAGAGAAGTGTAAGCCCAGGTTTGGTGTTTTATAATCCAGATAGAAGCTGTAGGGATTTTAAAGCAAGTTCAAAGTTTGAATCACAGAAATGGACCTGTCACTTTTGACCAATGATAAAGTCAGTATATCCTTAAGCTGTCAATGAATTTGTTAAAACTTTAAAGAAATATTCATTTACCCCTTCTGGAGCTTGTCTTATATTTAATTTTGTATATTATACAGTTAAATTTTTATTTTTATTTTCTTAAAGCAGTGCTTGGAACCCCTCACAGCTTGCCTCATCTGATGAACTCACCCATCTCCCCTGCATTTCTACACTTGAATAAAGCACACCAGGTACATAAATAGCATGGAGTATCAGAAGATCAAATGGAGTGAATATATTTCATTGGTTGTTAATATTTCAATACTCAAGAAGTTGAGTATTTTGTTTTAGAAGAAAATCCTTAATAATTATAGTTACTTACAATCATAACTTAATAATCCTACCAGATCCAATTAACCTAATTAATGCAGCTCCAATTAACCTAATTAATGAACATATTCCTATTTGCAAGGCATGAAGAAGAGATATATTTGTGACATATTTTTGCTAGATAATAGATCTGTAAACAAAACAAGACTTTTTATGTGCCCCTTACTCAAAAAAAAAATCTATAGAGAAAAACAAGTAGACAATAACTCTTAATTCTTAAAACCTAATGTCATAAAAATAGTTCATTATGTATATGAGAGTAAAGAATATTTTTCTTTTTACAGGTAAGTATTTTAACTTGTAGATATAGATATGTATGTGTATCTATCTATCTATCCACAATATTGGACATAAACATTACTCAGTTTCAGGTGGTATTTAAAGATACAGAACCTCAGTTACAAATCAAAGCTAATATATAATAGAGGATTGACATAAGGCAAATGAATGAATGTGTGGTCCTAAACACAGCTTTTTAAAGGAAAGGCCCATTTAAAATTTTTGGTCCTCAGAGTCTAACATAGTACCTTGTAGGGTCTTCATTCATTCATTCACTTGGCCTGTATTATTGAGAATCTAACACGTGTGTCCTAGACACTGTTCATCATTGCAGCTATAGCGTCACACAAATCATCAGTAGTCTCTGTGGCTACAGAATTTCAGACAGTAGTGGCTGGGGATGGAGCTCAGTGGCAGAGCGCTTGCCCGTCATGCGCAGAACCTTGGGTTCATCCTCAGTAACACAAAAGAACAAACTGTGGGGAAACAAATGTTGAACAGTGGATTTCAATAAAGTGTAAAGAGTGATATGAGAGGGGGAGTTCAGAGTATTGATAATATTCTCTTCACTTTTGGAGAAAGGCCCAAAATGCTTGATCTTGCCTTTAAGGCCTGTACAAGCCAGCCCCCTTGTCTCACGCTCCATGTATTTGCTATCCTCAAGGACCTTATTTCTCCCACTGAGGTCTTTACTCCCACTGTGCCTGGAGTGCTCCCCTCCTAACCACCTGCGACTTCACCCAGTCATTGATGCACCTTCAGATTACAACACAAGAGGTGGTTCCTCAAGAAAACCTTCCTTGGATTGTCCCGTCTAAATCAAATTCTTCCACTGTTGGTTCACCAATTTTTTTTTTCCTCATATACTTACTATTTGTAATTCTATGTGTTTTTATAAAGTCTCCCTTCCTCAGGGGACTATATGATCCATGAACGTAGATGATACTGTATTTCTCACCGTGTAGTGCAGTACTTGACACATAGCTGTTCGATGAATATTTGTTGAGTAAATGATTAAATAAATAAACAAATATAATATCACTGTCATTAAATTCAGAAAGAGTGGAGAAGAGGAGGATGAAGAGGGAAAGGATATGGAATTTGTCTCATAACCACATGGTCACCTCTTCTGTACCATTAAAAGAATTACTGTTGCCTGAAGTTGTGAAGTAGAATATTATTTTAAGAAGGAGTTGCTTTTACTCTGATGAGCTCAAGAACTGAACTTGAAGATGAACTGAGTTCTACAACAAATTGCTTTTCAAGAGTAAACTAACCGAGTGTTTTTATCATTCCACAGAGCTCAGTTATGGGTAATACTTCTAACTTATTCCTTCAGAATCTTTCTCATGTACCCCTGACACAGCAACAGTTAATGAAGTCTGAGACTATCCATACTAATAATGTAAGTCTGGCATTTTTTTTCTTCTAAAATAGGTTCATTCCTTTTGTAGAACCGGCCTGTTGAGCAGATTGCTTGTGAAATTTCATGTGTGTATTTTTTTTTATTAAGTTATATCTTTCTGCCATGAGCAAAATCTTATTTCTCTCCTTCTTTTGTAGAAACCTGGCTTACTTGGAGAACCCCCAGCTATGGTACTTCAAACTGCACTTGGAATAGGAGCAGCGCTTCCCTTGAAAACGGAGTTGGGACATCATGGAGAAGCCCATAAAAGTAAATGGCGTGTACTTATGGAGAAGTCAGTAAACAGTCAGACTTGAGATTGAAATGTAGTTTACCTGTATTCTACTTTTATTTACAGGAAGGTCAAATTTGAGTTTTATTCAGTCATTTGAAATTTTAAGAACCTTCTTGACTTTTTTATTTTAATATTAATGAGTTATTGATGGGCTTGCTTCCATGCCAAGATAAGACGATCCTTGTTGGATTTGCTTTAATATTTCATGCAGGTTCACAGCAGTATGAGGGGAAGACATAGATCTATTTGAGATTGACATGCTGCCCACTGAGCAGACAGCACATTACACATGTATCCATTTAATTTTTGCCTGGATAAGAAGCCCTTAGTTTTTTACAAAAGGAATATCTAGTACTTAGAATGTAAAGTTTATTTGTTTTACTTTTAAAAAGTATCTTCAAATTAGTACTTACAGAAAAGTATGATATGTGTTCTGTGTACTTCTGAACACATGAATATATAGATAAATATTTAGAAAAGCAATAGCCTGGTGTTATACCCGATTTTTTAAAAATGTGATTTGGAAAGGTGCTTTCAGTTTGAAGCTTAATTGAAAATTTAGTTATGCATAAATATGCTGACTAAAAACAAAGGACTGCTAATAATTTAAAAGTTAATTAAGTATAGAGAGCACACTTAGCCTTTTGAACATAAAATCAACTAGTCATAGGACCAAATTACTAAGTCAGTTCTGCCTATTGAAAATGACCAGACAAAAATTAAGTTAGAAATAAAATTTTTTTTTGTATGACAGTGTCTGTCCTTCTAAAAAATTAAATTTTCTTTGACTAAAAGCTTATGCAAATGTTTACTGCTTGTATTAAGTTAAATAATAAGCCATTTGCTATAGCATGTACTGCTCTAAGAACATGGAAAATTCAGTATCCAAATAAATATATTGTTAAAAGTTAGAAGAACCAATGTACTGACCAAAACAAACAAACATAGAAAACCCAAAGTATCCATCTCTAAACGTTTAGTAAAATAAACCAACCAATTAGTGGTATGATGGTGTTTAACAAACTCTCTAAGTTTAAAAAAGAAGTCTTGGTTGGAGTCATTTGTAGATTTCTGTTTGTGAGCCCTCCAGCCATGGCTGATTTCAGATTACAGATGTGAAGACAATGAATTCAGTTGCAAAGAGAGATGCACAATTGGTTCTCATTAGCTGTTGCAAGCCAGCTGACCAGACTTATGGGGTTCACTCTAAAAGTGTCCAAGAGCTTTTTGACTCAAGACTTTTGTTCTCTTCAAACATGAAAGCAGATAAATTGCAGTGACTGATATTTTTTTTAAAGTACTGATAAGCTGGGCATAGTGGCACACACATCCTGCAACTTGGAAGGTTGAGGCAAGAGGATCACAAGTTTGAGGCCAGCCTCAGCAACTAAGCGAGGCCCTAAGCAACTTAGGGAGACCCTGTCTCAAAAATAAAAAGGGCTGGGGGTATGGCTCAGAGGTGAAGTGCCCCTGGGTTAAATGCCCAATACAAAAAATAATAATACTGATATAACTTACATGCCAAAAAGAATATGAACTTCTAAAATACAATTAAAATGTTATTGATATTATCTTAGAAGTTGTTGAAAATAAGAAAAGCATTATTACTTTTTTTTTTTTTCTTTTTTGAGGTGGGATAGGATCTTGCTATGTCACTCAGGCTGGTCTTGAACTTCTGTACTCAAGTGATTCTCTAACCTCAGCCTCCCAAATAGCTGGGACTATTGGCATGCACCACTCTACCCAGCTCACATTAACTTCTCTTCTAGGTTTGTGTTTTTTTCATAAAGGAATCTAGCAATTTATAACTTCCAACCTCACCTTTTGAATTTAACAGTTCTTTGATAGGCATGAAATAGGATTCTCCATTTTTTGCCCCCCAAAAGTGATAAAATCCAAAGGACAGTTGGGAATAAATCTTGTCTAACTACAGCTTTTTTGCATTTGTGTCCACTGCAGCATCTAATCTGATGCCAACTCAAACAACCATCACAGCTGGAATGGGCATGTTGCCTTTCTTCCCAAATCAGCACACTGTTGGACAAGCTGGGTCAGGGTTGGGGAATACTCAGGAGAAACAGACCGCTTCCGTGGGAATAGCAGAAGGAAATTTCTCAGGGTCACAGCCTTACCTTCAGAGCTTTCCAAATCTTGCTGTTGGAGGCTTGTTGACGGGACACCATAAGCAGCAACAGAGTCAGCCAAAAGGCCCGGAGGTGAGCTCGGGGCCAGGACACAGGCGTGTTTGTGCGTGTGTTCCCCTCATATTGTATCTGCAATGAAATGTTTCTAATACTAGAGTGTTCTAAGTTATGGTTATTTTATAGGTGATAAATTTATGAACTTGGATAAACCAGTCATTTTCAAACTTGAAAGGAGGTTAATAATATGCCTAAAGTATTTACATAGGGATGACAAACTAGATAATTGCCTTGTCAGTGAAATGATTTTCAGTAGCTTGCATTTATGCCTCAAAATTGAAGAAAGCATTGCACTCTTTTGAAACTACCATTTTATTGTAAAGAAACAAACAAAAATCCCTCTTTTTAATAAATTATGCCGGCTGACATTTGGTACTATGCTTAATTATTTGCCAGTTTGCCTATAAGTAAAATAATTTTGATTTTTGTAAAATGAATTTTTAATGCTGTTATTGTAAAATATTGTCAATATGAATTTTTTTTATTTTATGACTATTTGCTGTTTTGAAAAGTATGTGCTAAAGAATGGCTTTAAAAATACTTGTTATCTTAAAAATTAAATATGAGCTAATAAAAGCTCAAAATTTTACAGTTCGGAAGAGCTTAGGAGAATCATTAATACCCATCCAGTTAAATAGTGATATTATTTATAAGGATATCTTTCTGTTTATTTATATCTTCTTTAATTTCAACAGTGTATTGTAGGTTTAATACAAGACTTTTCCTTCGTAGTTAATTCCTAAGTATTTTATTATTTTTGATGCTTTTATAAGGGAATTACTTTCTTAATGTTCTTTTCAGTTTGTTCAATGTTTGTGTATACACACAATTGGTTTCATGTGTTGATTTTTTTTATCCTGCAATTTTGCTAGATTATTTTATTCTAACAGTTTAGAACTATGGGGGGTAAGGTTTTCTATTTATAACATCATGCTTTCTTTTTATTCTGTGATTTGAATGCTTCTTATTTACTTTTCCTGCTCAACTGATCTAGCTAGAACTTGCAATACTGTGTACTTGAAAGAGGCAAGCATTGGCATGACTTGCTCCTGATCTCAGAGGAAAGGTTCTGGTCTTTAGTCATTGAACATGATGTTAGCTCTTGGCTTTTCATATATAACTTTATTATGTTAAGACAGTTTCCTTCTATTCTTGTTTTGTTGAGTCTTTGTATCATGAACAGGTGTTTAATTCTGCACAGTGCTTTTTCTGCATTGAGATGATCATGGTTTTCCTTGCCTTTTTCTGTTATTGTGGTATATTACACAGATGAACCTACGCATGTTGAACTATTCTTGCATTTTAGGAACAAATCTCAGTTGGTCATGGGGTATAATGCTTTTAATGTGCTGCTGAATTCAGTTTGCTAGAAATGTGTTGAGGATTTTTGCTTTAATATACATAAGAGATATTGGTCTATAGTTTTCTGGTATTGTCTTTGTCTGGTTTTGATACTAGGACAAATCCTGGTCTTATGGAATGATTTAGGATGTGTTCCTTCTTCATTTTTGTATAAGAATTTTAGAAGGACTGATGTTAAATTTCTTTTAAAATGTCTAATACACTTAACCAGTAAAGACACATGATTCTAGGCCTTTATTTGTAGGAATATTTTGTGTTTTGTAAAACTTTATAACTTATTCTCATTTAGAGCCAGTTGAGAACCTCTGGTGTGTATATAACCCCACAAATCTGAACATTTCAGAAATAAAATGTGTGAGCTCTTTGCTGGATTCCTTTTCCCTATAAATTTAACCTCTTGGAGGTTATATTTCCTTTATTCTGTTTAGGAAACAAAATTAAAGCCAATTAAACATGAAAATCAAGCTACTAGGTTTAATTATATAATTCTGAACATTGTCTTATTTTAAAATCTTTATGATCAGAGAGTTAAAAAGTAAAACATTCTGTCAGAGTATATGAAATACACTGAAGAATTAGAGCATGATTTCATCTTTTTCTTCTGGTAAAGAAATGCTAGAATCCTCTTACTTAAGTAGTCATATCAAAATACAGTGACATGCATTTTCAGGAAATGTGAATTTCTAGCCTCATCATCTAAATGTAGAGTTTGGTTTTATTAAACTCCCTTATTTAGCTTGCTATTATTTTTAGTACCAGAGGTAAATCAGTTTTGCTATTTGGTTTGTGGTCACATGATATAAAATAAGAATCATAATAATAAATATTGATATCTGTATTTCTAGAGATGTGATATAGAAATTTTTTTCCATGATGAAGATGAATTATTTCAGATTCAAGTGAGAAGTTGGATAGGATATCTTAAGTTCTATTTTAAAAAAAACAAAAACATTTTGTTTTACTTATAGTTGGACACAATACCTTTATTTTATTTTTATGTGGTGCTGAGGATTGAACCCAGCACATGCACTACACACACACACACACACACACACACACACACATGTGCTACGCAAGCACTCTACCGCTGAGCCATAACCCAGCCTTCTTTAGTTCTATTTTAATTCTAAAGTAGTGTGTATCTAGGGGCTGGGATTGTGGCTCAGCAGTAGAGCACTTGTCTAAGTGTGAGTGATGCCCTGGGTTCGATCCTCAGCACCACATAAAAATAAATAAATAAAACAAAGGTATTGTGTCCAACTACAACTAAAAAATAAATATTAGAAAAAAATAAAATAGTGTGGTTCTAGAAGGTTTTTAAAATAATTTTAAAATAATAGCAGATAAAATATAATTTTAATCAAAATTTGTATATATTTTGTAAGTTTATATCATCAAAGTTTAGGTTCCACAAATTTGAATCACAGTAGACTAGATGTATTGAAAAATAAGTATTTATCTATTTTGCATCTTTATTTTCCTATACTCTTATTAAATGCTCCATCTTTTGTTTTTGATGAATAGGCTGCCTCTAAGAATCAGACTTCACTCTTGGGAGAACCACCAAAAGAAATCAGACTCAGTAAAAATCCGTATTTGAATCTGGCAAGTGTGTTGCCCAGTATGTGCTTATCATGTAAGTGGGGGCCACTATCAGTGTTTTGCAGTTTTACTGGACAAGTTCTATGATGGGTTTTACTTTAATTTTGATCAATGGAAAGCAAATAATTTCTGTTAACAAAATTAAGCCATAAATCATAACTTCACTCTTTAAATTGAAAAAACAAATTAAAATTAAGACACTTAAATTGAATACTACTTCATTTAAGAAAAATATTTAAATAGTATTTTATTAAGAATATAATCGTTCTATTGGATTGTTGAATTATGATTGAAATTAATGGGGGCAAAGAATTATTTGGCAGTACTATAATTATTTATAAACCAGAAATGTAAACCTCTAAGTAATATACAGAGTATTTGGATATCCCCCAAATTCATGACTACTAATCAGTAGAAATGAAATTCTCATTTACTTTTTTTAGTTCTAGTTTTTGATATTTAATTGAGTGGTGACCTCTAATAAAATATATTTCTTTTTATGCTTCAAAAATTCTAAGTAGTTATAAGATTGGGCTGATTATATAGAATATTGCTAGAAAATAATTTGTGACTTTATACAATTTTTTTAACTGTACAGATGAATGGGATTTACTGTAATATTTTCATGTATTATATATTGTGAATTGATTGTGTCCATCCACTCTTCTGTTACCCCATTTATTTTCTTGAGGACCTTCTCAGTCCTCCAATTAATATGAATCAAATATTTATATTTTTGTTCAAATATTTTTTAAAAAATATTTTGTTTTAGTTGTAGTTGGACACAATACCTTTATTTAATTTTTAGGTGATGCTGAGGATGGAACCCAGTGCCCCGCACGTGCTAGGCAAGCGTTCTACCACTGAGCCACAACCCCATCCCCTTCCCACCCCATCCCCACTCAAATATTTTTAAGGTCACAAATGTGTGCTCTAGAAACAATGATAGTCACTGCAATGTTGATTGTCCATAGTGAAAATTTGGAACATATTGTTTATCAGTAAGGGAATGGGTAAATAAATAGCTTATCATAAACCAGAACCCTGCAACTTCTTAATCATTCATATGAAATAATCACTGAAGCATATTTTAAGTGGAGAAAGCAAATATATCCATAAAATGATTCAATTTATGTTTATTTAAAGCTATATATTTTCCTATACATATATTTGTATAAATACATGAAGTAAATCTGGGGAAATAAATTCTTACCTGTTACCTCCAGAAAGAATAGGATTGAATGAAAAGAAATTAAAGATTAATTTCATTTTTAATATACCTCTTCTGTAGTTTACAAAGTGTCCTCTTGAACTTAAATATTAATTTTTTATCTTTTAAAAAATCAGAAAAAAATTAAATATGATTCAAATATGCTGACTCTGCTTTGATCTGGCTTAAAAATTGATGATGACAACCATTGCTTGAATAAGAATGTTTAATTTACATTTTGTATACTTTGTTGTAGAGATTACATATGTATGTTTAAATGTTTCCATCATAGTTATTTTATCCATGGAGCAAACTTTCATTTTTAGTTTTTCCAAATGAATGAAACAATATCATATACTATATATACTTTGCCCTGGGGAAAACAAACATAAATATATATTCACAAACTAAAAGTTGTGTTGTGTAGAGTTGTTGTGTTAGTTAATGAGTTTTGCACTCTGTTTATAATTTGCGATAGAACAATCTAAATTGTATTTATTTTGCCTTTAGCTGCTGCAAGTAAAACCACTCTACATAAGACTGGAATTTCAAGCAACATTCTGGATGCAATCTCTCAGGGAAATGAATCGCAGCATATGTTGGAGAAGTGCATTGCTTATTCTCCGCCCTTTGGTGATTATGCACAGGTAAATGATTCTCAGGTTCAGATGATATATAGAAAAACTGGTTCAATCACTTATTGAGTTCACTGAAAATGAAATAGCAATGTGTTTAATGTTATTAAAGACCCATGAAATTGCAACCATCTATATGTATTTCTTGTTCACCATTTGAAATTTAGGAATGTGTTTCAGAGATTGTTTAGAATAGTTTGTCCTAGATATTTACCTTTTGTTCTTTATACCAGTGGTTTTCAAACAGCCTTCTCACTACATCCAGTCTACTACCTGCTTTTGTAAATAGAATTATATCGGAACATAGCCACATCCATTCATTTACATGTTTTCTGAGGTGCTGTCATGCTACAATGAGAGAGAAGTAGTTACAACTGACACACACATAGTCTACAAGAATAAATATTTACTATCTGACTGCAGAAAAACTCTGCTGTCCACCATCTTACTCAAGTATAGATCCAAGAAATCCAAGAAAATGCCTCTGTTCTTCATCACTGTTTACAGATGTAAAAAGATGATCATTTTTACAGATTCTGCTAAACTAACTTTTAATTTTAAGCCAGATACAATCATCCCTCAGTATCTGTAGGGAATTTGTTCCCAGAACCTCCTGTGAATATGGAAATTCATAGATGCTCAACTCCCTTATGTAAAACAGTGTATTATGTGCATACATTCTATGCACAGCCTCCTGCATACCTTTAACCATCTCTAGATTACTTACAATACCTATTATTCTGTAAACACTGTGTGAATAGTTTTTATACTGTGCTGTTTACGGGATAATGACAACAAAGTCTGTACATGTTTAGTAGTGATGCAATGTTTTGTTTTGTTTTTAATAATTTCAATCTGCAGTTGATTGAATCCATGGACACAGAACCTGTGGGTAGGGAGTATCATGCTACATTAGATTGAAGAGGTATATTGTGTCATGACCTAGATGTCTATTTGACATGGCCTCTTTCATCTTCATCCTATTCTAAGTAACTTAAACTGAGCATGTACATCATCATGTCAGCACTATATGATTATGTAGTCATCGGAGCTGTATAATTAGCAGTTTTGATTCTTTCTTATTTCTGAGAGCAGACAGCTTCTCAGCCCTATTCTGTCTATCGGAGCAGCAACTCCACTTAGATTTCCCTGCAGCAATTTTACTTTTGCCTTCTCTGTCTCTAATGGACTTAGAAGAGAATACTACTTTAATTCGCTTAGGACAATTAATGGCTGACTATGCTTTTATAAAAGAGTACTAGAAACACAGTTCTATTTCCATTTTTAAAATGGCATACCTGGATATTTGTAAGATATGTGGCAAAGTCTCTCACATATCTGGATGAGATGGAGGACCAGGGGTAGGAAAGTGCCGCAGGTGGGTAGCAGCGTATTTCAGTTTGAAGTACAGCAGTCAGGCCCTGCTGCCCCAGAAGCACTCACTCTCTTGTTTCGCTGAGATCCTATCTTGGTTATGAACATTTTAAATAATTACTTAGATAAAGACTGTGTGTGCATCTATACTCTTTACTCTTGTAAACAGGAGCAGCACAATGCATTTTTTTAAAATTTAGTTCAATGTGTGTTTAAGCTTCAAAAACTATTTTTGTACTGACCTTTGCATTTCTTTTATTTCACTTTTGAAATCAGTCTCACTTATCTCAGCAGTTTTGTTTTGTGGGTCAGTGTGGTTTGTTATACATGTCACATCTGTGGAAAGACTCTCCTTTACATGAGGGAAGTTGTGATAAACGTGCCTTTCGCGTCCCCGGCCTCACAGTTGTCTATCCGGAGATGCTGTGGAGGAGTGGGTTTTCTGTCCCTTTGGACACTCCCTGCTTCCTCCTGGTGCTTGTCCATAGAGTGAGATGTCTCTCTCTCTCTCTCTCTCTCTTATCCTCATAAAATAAACTTAATTAAATATTACTAATGGAATAAAGTAACTAGAAAAAGGTGGTCATGTGTTAGGAATTCCTTGTACCGTTGCCACAGCTGGAATGGAGGAAGAGATTTAAGAAAAAGGAACTAACAATTTTTGTTTTATTACTAACACTCGGCATAAGCATTGCAAAGTAAGCATTTTTGTTTTATTTTTTGCCGTCTTGGGGTTCAAACCCAGAGCCTTACACATGCTAGGTGGTGTACGCATTTAAACTTTCCTACAAGCCTATGAGCTTTAAATTACTCCCTGCATAATACAAGTGAAAAAGCATAAAGGAGTAAATAGTCTTTCCAAATTCATGCACTTAGTAAATGGTTCCTCTGAACCCAGAGTCTACATTATCTTCATCATACAGAGAAATTTCTTCAGGCGTGGAAGTAGTATCTCATAGAAACTATATGTATAGGTTTCTTTCTTTTAAAAAAATGTTTAGTTGTAGATGGGCACAATACCTTTATTTTATTTATTTATTTGTGTGTGGTACTGTGGATTGAACCCAGTACCTCATGAATGCTAGGCAAGTGCTCAACCACTGAGCCACAACTCCAGCCCTGTGTGTAGGTTTGAATGCATAAGGATTAAGAGAGATTGGATATGTTAAAGCATGGATGAATATAATAATTTCTGTTTCAAATAAAACTCTCACATTTTAAAATGCAATAGTTGGCATTTCCAGTATTAGTGAAGTTGCTTATAACACCATCCCTCCTACAGATAACTTTTATAAAAACTGAACTAAATATGAAGAGAAAACTGTTATTTGAAGACATTGGAGAATGACCCAAATCAGGCAGAAACTGAGAGGGAATCAGCCCCTGAAAGATGGGGACTCTGCAGGAATGGAATTTGTCTCTGTGGCTTTTTGCCTAACACCGGCGTCTAGTTTGAGCAGAAATCCTCAGTCTTAACCGCTTGAAGAGTCAGAAGACAGATTTCTAGGACTATTAGTGAGGCTATGTAGTAAGAGGGAAAATCTAGGAAAGAGGAAATTGCGTGGGTTGGAGCCTCAACATCCATATGGCCACTCAGCATGAGGGAGAGAGACTCTGGAGACTTGGTGGAGAAGAGCAGCTGGAGGAAGGGAGGAGAGAGTCAGCTCCACCCCGGGTAAAGACAGAGTTTTGAATTTAAGTTCAGCAAATTTAATTCCTTCTAAAACTAGAACAAAACACTCTTTGGAGGAGTGTAATAGAATCTGTGTTCTCTACATGTTTCACTCACAAAGTCCAGTAAACAAAAATTACTAGATTTTTGAAGAAGCAAAAAAGTATGCCCCATAGTTAAGAGAAAAAGCAGTTTCTAGAAACTGACCCCAAGTTGATCCAGATGTTGGTGTTAATAGACAACGACTCTAAAGCAGCTATTATAAATATGCTAACAACTTAAAGGAAAAGACGAATTTAATGAGCAGATAGGAAATCTCAGCTAAAAAGTATACATTTAAAAACTGAATAATTCTAGAATTGAAAAGTATCGTTTCTCGTGTTAAAAAATATAATGGATGGACATTACAGAAGGTTGGGGCAAGCAGGAAAAAAAGATTCAATAAACATAAAAACAGATAAAAATAAATAAGTCAATTGGAAGAAAAAAGGGAAAAGAGATTGAAGAGCAATGAATACATTCTCAGGGACCTAAGTTAAATATCAGTCTAAAATACATGTAAGTAGAGTCTGAGGAGGAGAGGAGGAAGATAAATGGAGCATAAAGTATCTGAAAAAGTAATAATAAAAATTTCCAAATTTGCTTCAAAAAACAGATTTAATAGACACAGAGACCTTTCTTGCAAAGCAAAAAAAGTAGAATTTTGCATAGGCACATTATAGTTAATGTGCTGAAAAACACAGCTTTAAAGAGAGAATCTTGAAAGTAATTGATATAAACAATGCATGTAAATAAAATTTAAACAACAACAACAATGCATATTATTTTGATGGGTTTCTCAGCCCTGACACTATTGACATTTGGGGCTATGTAATTCTCTCTTTTGGAGAGCTATTCTGTGTGCTGCAGGATATTTAGCATCATCCTTGACTTCTATCTATATATTGCCTTCACCATCTATACAGCCACTATTAAGAGAACTGGTAAATAAAAGATTGTTATCTTGATTTATTTAAAAGTAAAATTTACTAAGGAAATTGGGGCCTAATCCCACAAGATGGAGACTAGGGCCTACCTTTTCTTCTGTTAGATGCAGGGTCTCTGATTTTATTCCTAGGTCTTTGTTCCATTTTGAGTTGAGTTTTGTGCATGGTGAGAGATAGGGGTTTAATTTCATTTTGTTGCCTATGGATTTCCAGTTTTCCCAGCACCTTTTGTTGAAGAGGCATTTTTTTTTCTCCAATGCATGTTTTTGGCACCTTTGTCTAATATAAGATAATTGTAATTTTGTGGGTTAGTCTCTGTGTCCTCTATTCTGTACCATTGGTCTACCAGTCTGTTTTGGTGCCAATGCCATGCTGCTTTTGTTACTATGGCTCTGTAGTTTAGTTTTAGGTCTGGTATAGGAATGCCACCTGCTTCATTCTTCCTGCTAAGGATTGCTTTAGCTTTTCTGGGTCTCTTATTTTTCCAGATGAATTTCATGATTGCTTTTTCTATTTCTATGAGGAATGTCATTGGGATTTTGATTGGAATTGCATTAAATCTGTATAGTGCTTTTGGTAGTATGGTCATTTTGATAATATTAATTCTGCCTATCCAAGAGCAAATTAGATCTTTCCATCTTCTAAGGTCTTCTTTGATTTCTTTCTTTAGGGTTCTGTAATTTTCATTATATAGATCTTTCACCTCTTTTGTTAAGTTGATTCCCAAGTTTTGTTTTGTTTTGTTGAGGCTATTGTAAATGAGGTAGTTTTCCTCATTTCTCTTTCTGAGGATTTGTCACTGATATACAGAAATGCATTTGATTTATAGTGTTGATTTTATAGCCTCCTACTTTGCTGAATTCCTCTCTCTCCCCATGCACAAAACTCATCTCAAAATGGAACAAGGACCTAGGAATAAAACCAGAGACCCTGCGTCTAATAGAAGAAAAAGTAGGCCCTAATCTCCATAGTGTGGGATT